ATGTAAATCAGTTATATTACAAAATATTTATAGATATTTGGTAGGAAATATTTTGCAATATATAATAATATTTTAGTAATTAACAAATTATTCACAAATTTTGTTAGATTATTGTTAGTCAGAAAATAGAATCTGACTGAAAATTTCATAAGTTTAAGCTTCTTATTTTTGAATTGAATATTAAGTAAACAAATTATTTGTTACAGATTACTTTCAGACTTTATTTTTTTCTATGGGATGCGACGATTTCTGTTTAATGATGGATTTGACGATATCGATGACAACTTTTTTCGCATTTAACGGTGAGTCGCATGCATTTTTGTTTCTCTGGCTGTACTACGTAGATTTTTTTGACGAGCATAGTGACCGCGAGTATTAATTATACTAACATTTTCTTGTCTGTTTCATTTATTAGTTTAGGATAGGTCTTCTTACATATCGCGCGTTTTAACGATCAATCAGATTAAAATAATTCAATTATAATTCTCGCTAAAATGTAAGAGGACATTTCGCGACAAGCAGATCCTGGAATCAAAGCAAACAAATTCTAAATATTGCTTTCACAAATTCGAAAATTGATAAAGGAATTGCTCGAGGCCATTTTCATTATCAATTAATATCAATTAATAATGTTTATTATATCAAATAAATACAAATACACAGTTCTTATTTATTATTAATCTTTTTTTTTTATACTTTAGAATTTCAACTAAAGTAAAATTTGAGAATGCAAAGTAAAAGATTATTAGCCTGTTAGATAAAAAATAATCTAATCAGTTTGTTAGGTACGTGGATGAGAGAAAGACGATGGTCATGATGACCATAGTTTATAAGTTTATAATAATTTTTCAGCAATTGACAATACGTTAGTGTATCGTGCACGACGTATTTTTCACATTATGTGTGTGTGGTTAGACTGTGAAATTGCGTCGTTTCGACCATTACTCCGTACATGTATGTAATTTCAAGTATCTAAATAATCGGTAAATATTACCAAAGATAACAATTTCAATTTGAATGTAGTAGTAGTTATTGTTGTTACTACTTTGTCATTATGCTCGCCTTCAGTATTTTTTATTTTTGTAAAGAATTTGTTTCACAATTTGAATATTTATAAACATATTTGAATTATGTCCCACAAGTGGATAATATTGGAATGAAAAATGGAATGCAATTATTTTAAACATATAATATATTCATTTGTATGCTTGTACATATCTCGCATTCTTTTATACAACAAAATATCTATGACAACAGTACAGTAGAGAACGGTATACAATATATAGTTGTATCAATAATTCATTCATAAATATGAGATGCAAGACAGCCTCGTTCTCTTAAGACTTAAGACATAACATTATCGGGTCGTGATTGCATAAAATACATGTAATTATGTACTCTTCTTGATTACTCTGATGTCCAGTCTTTCGATAGAACTTTTGCATCGGTTTCCTCCGCGTCTACTAGATTCGACTTTTTGTTTTTGTTTTTCTTTTTCGTTTTTATTTAAATTGTCCTTTTAAACTCGGAAAAAACAAATGTGTATCGTTATTACTCGATTTTTCTTCTAATACTGTTAGACCATTGTAATTATAGTTAATAAAAGGAAAAACGAGAAGTCGATGAAATGATAACAATCGTGCGTGACTTTCATGACAGTTTACACTTAGATACGTAGATCAATTTTTTTTTTTTTTCTTTTTTTTTTTCTTTCTCTTGTAAAGGAACATGACGATCTGTGCGACTTTCGCTCTCAAACAAAAAGCGACGAGAGAACTGCGTATTACTTCATCTTAAACAAGTACTTTCGGCTAGAATACGAATGTTTGTAAAGTAGGCCAATCGTTTCGTGCTCCCTTCGTACGGAAAATGGCGAATTGGGCGCTTTCGCAAATATATCGTGGAGCGATTTCGTTCGTTTAAATCTTTAACAAGAGAGAATATCCGTTTTAGTGAAAAAATATGCTATTTACATGTAAGGTATCTAGTTGTGCGTCGATTCATTAATTCGCCGTTTATCGGGTGTATCAAAATCTACTTAAAGGGATGAACGATTCGTACAGCCGTTGTTTTCACAAATCCTTCTTCTTCTTCTTCTTCTTCTTCTTTTTTTCCTGTTTCTTTTCTGCAAGTGTAGACATGCGTGTATAATTCCGGCCGGAGAATCCTAATCCGATAAAAATCGACGATATATTTTTCACCCATGAGAACGTTACACCGTCGGGATTTCAATTAATT